CCCCAAAACCCCAAAACCCCAAAACCCCAAAACCCCTTAGCAATAAATATATATTGAATACACCAGTTTGAAATGGAATCTTTACACGTAGTTCTTGCCAACAGACAGCCCTAGGAAGCTTCTTGCCTTTTCTCCAACATTAAAGTATTTTATCATGAAGAAGATCTTTATCAGTCAGACAACAACCACTGTGGTTGATTTCCAGAAGAACCTATAATGAATTAGAGCAGGAAAGATGTAAACTTACCATGAAGATCTAGAATCTGTTTTCCTTTTATAATTTAACTGCTCATTTGTTCTCTCAGTATTAGCGTTGATCAGATGAGATACTCTTTCCATAGACTCATGAATAGTTTGTAGCTCACTTTCGAATCTCTGGAGGTCGCCAACCTCGAGAACTTCTCCTTTAACAGAGTTATCTTGAGGAGTAGCGACAATATCAAAGTTTAATTTTCTCTCTTTCCCGTTTACATTCGTATAACAAATAGTGTAGATTCCATCTTTGTATAATTTTTCTTCCATGAACCCAGCCAGAGGATTAGAACCAGACTTAATAACCTGATTATTCGGGTCAAATAAGTCATATTTTATCTCTGAAGATCCTGACTTCTTCGCTCCAAAGGTATGGAAAGTCATCTGGAACAAGCCAGTGGCATTACCCCATATTCCAAAGCAATATGGCTCTATAAAAGCAAGGTCAACTTCTCTAAACCAAAAGAGTGGGTTTCCTACCTTTTCCTTCCATGGTAAAACTCAGACTGTGAATTGATGGCACTAGGAACAGTAAAATTCAGCTATATGACAGAAAATTATAGAAATTTATAGAAATCTTGAACTACACAGTAGTCGAATTTTAATCCAGTGCTTGCCCAAGTTATAGAGAATATACGACTGGACTTACCTCAATTTCAAAAGAGAATGCATCTTGGATTCTTCTGAGATTTTAATAAAATTAATAAAGACTTAGCAAAACTTCCAAAAAGGGGTTTTGGGGTTTTGGGGTTTTGGGGTTTTGGGGTTTTGGGG